CGAGGGTTTTGGTACGTGTGTTTAGGAGGGTGCACTTCATCTTCAACCCTTGTCCGGCTGCATAATCTTACGATATAGTCAAACCGAGTTTAGGTACAATTGTACCTTTGCAATCTGACAGGGTTTAAAGGTGGCTAGACTACAACAACGAATATATAAAAGAAAGGTGATCACGGTGCGGCTGGCCATGCAGTTCAAGCGAACACATACATCCTGGCGGCCAATCTAGCTCGGATGTCCTCTGATGTTGCAACGAGCGTTTCAGTCATTTTGTGAACCTTGAGAAAGCGTTTCCTGTTGTGAAATAGTTCTTGTGGTGCAAGTTTTTTTTCAAATATGTCCGTTATGAGGTTCAAGTATTTAGGCAGCTTCAAAGTGGACAGATTTAATTTCAAACTAGAAATAAACGAACTATTTTGCATTTTTAATCGAGTTTATTAAAAATATGCGGAATGTTTTAATCCAGCTCCAAAATGAACACCAATATGAGTTTAAGTTGTCAAATGAACGACATTATTTGTATTTTAATTGAGTTTATGTGATATATGCAAGAATTTTAAACAAAATCCTCCTTGCAGCGGCAGCGATGACGACCGCGCGTCACCAGTGAAGCCAGGGTCGCCTGACGCTCAGGACAAGAGGTTTGACGAACACGGCCTAGTGCTGCCAAAGAAACTTGTCAACCCAAGCCTCGAGTCCTCCGAGAAGAAGAGCCTACACAGGGAACTACTCTTCAACCAGAAACTGTGTGTAATTTTGTACCGAGCATTCATATTTGACCAGAAACTGTGTGTAATTGTGTGTGTGTAATAGCACTGCTGTGTGTGTAATAGTACTGCAACAGAGCGCTCCTATTCCTATATTCAACAGAGCGCTCCTATTCAACAAGAAACTATGTAATTCTATGCATAGCACTCCTATTCAGCGATAAACAGTGCGTAATTCTATGCAGAGCACTCCTATTCAGCGATAAACTGTGCGTAATTCTATGCAGAGCACTCCTATTCAGCGATAAACTGTGCGTAATTCTATGCAGAGCACTGTTATTCAACCAGAAACTGTGTAATTCTATGCATTGCACTCCTATTCAGCGATAAACTGTGTGTAAATCTATGCAGAGCACTCTTATTCAACCAGAAACTGTGTAATTCTATGCATTGCACTCCTATTCAGCGATAAACTGTGTGTAAATCTATGCAGAGCACTCCTATTCAGCGATAAACTGTGTGTAAATCTATGCATAGCACGCCTATTCAACCAGAAATTGTGTAATTCTATGCATTGCATTCATATAGAAACTTGGTAATTCAAGGCAAGCATGAGCTGTTGTATGTTCGTAAGATAACTACCCTTCAAACTGTGTACGTTACATTCGCTTACAGATTGAGTTTTATGCTCTCGGAGAACCGCTGGTTGACCATTAAAAGAAACTTTTGAGACTTCTCTTCAAACCAGTAAATGTGAGCGAATATTCGCCTTAAAGTGGCTAGCTCTCTATTTAGTTGGGGCCATTAATTTCTTCGATTAAAATTGTAGAAAGCGTCAACTCTCGTATTATGTGTGGATAATATGTGCAGCAGATATCTAAAATGTGTACTCTTTTAAAAAAAGGCTTGCACGGTAGAATCCTATAGGAAAACTTTTCTTGCAGATTAAAATTAACCACAAGATTTTTTCATTTTTTTCCAACTTTGAAGGTATTAATCAGTTTAATTTGCAGTGGCGTTAGTGTGCTGAACCAGAAGACGGAGCTGCAGAAGGCCATGGAGAAGCATAAAGGGAAGCAAATAGCAAAGGAGCAAGAGAGGGAGAAGCAGGCTAACCTTACGCCTTTCCAGCGCGCTTTGGAACAGCAAGCGCTTAAACTGGAACAGGTAAGAGGCGGCACTTTTGGTGAACCTTCTTTTAATCCATCAATACTAGATATCCAAACTACGTGTATATTAGTTGCATTTGTTATTAACCGCAACTGATAGTCATTGAGCAACGGCTAGGTTATGATGGTGTTCGAAAAATTGATATTTATCAATAATTAAGCCATTTCTCGCATGATTAAAAATATTAGTGCTTGTTCTGAGCAATCTTTGATCATAAGTGCTGTTTGACCGTACCTCGTTACTAGCGCGTGACAGTAATGTTGCTCTAAGAATTCGTAGATGTTACACTGTTTAGCCAGCCTAATTGTTATCATATACTCATATTTTGACGAATTACGAGAAGGTTTACGTCACTTTTTAGCAAACGTAATTGCTATCCTATACTTGGACATTGATATATTCTGAGAAGATTTACGTCTCTTAACAAACTTTATTGTTATCGTATACGCGTATTTTGACGAATTAGCAGAAGGTTCACGTCACTTTTTAACAATTTTAATTGCTATCCTATACTTGTGTACTGCCCGATTATAAGAAAGTTCATTTAGCCATTTCACCAAACCCTCCCCCAGGCCCCCGATAAGACCGCCGAGGAGGTCAATAAGGAGCCTGAGGAGGCGCTCGAGTTCCAGAAGCTCCAGGCGAGGCTTCGCTCCAAACTGGAGGCCCAGTAAACTCCAGCTGTCCAGCTGCTGTCTGCAACTGCCCAGCTGTTGTCTGCAACTGCCCAGCTGCTGTCTGCAACTGCCCAGCTGCTGTCTGCAACTGCCCAGCTGTTGTCTGCTTCATGCGTAACTCCGAGCTGGGATCACTGTGACTGTTCGTGGTCACATCAGTCGGCGCGATTATTGTGAATGATTATCCGAGTTGCGAATTAAATGACTTCTTTTAACACAATTGCAATCCTGCAATTGTGTAGCCATGAAGGTATTAGCGAGTGAGAATTCTCCTTACTCACTTTCAAGCTATTATTTAATAGCTCTATCTTATCATTGATCTTTAGTAAACATATTTTCGTAGGAAACATAAATTTAATTCGTATTAGGTTCTCCATGTTTTTGATTGGTTGTTCTTTATTTGTTTCTTAGTTCATAATGCTACATTAATAATTTGAGTCAATTATCAATACTCTGGAGGCGGTCGCTTGACACTACCCAGCGTGAGAAAAAATCTCGTCTGCTGCGCTGTTTCTTGATCGTTCATATAGACGGAAAAAATTAATTGTGATGTGTTGCAATAAATTGTAAGTCACGGAGTGCAATGAGTGTGTGGTTTTCAGTCGTAAGTATTTTTTTTGTGTAGTTCTAAGTGATCGAGTTGAGTATCTTTTCACGACATATGTGTTCGTATGTGTTCCGTTTGTAAGTCTAGTCAAGCGGTCGCGCTTACGATCACCTTTTTTATGCAAGAAATGGTGCAAATCTACTTAACTTGCAAATTTCCTCCATATTATTCCTTTTTCAGTTCCGCGCTGAATACTCGGACGAAGTTCATGTTAGAAGAAGCTAACAAAGCTATATTATCCCCGTTTTACATTTGTAAACTATTCACAGAGGGCCTCGAAGTTTCAGATGAGTGGTAGCTTGCCAGATCATGGATATGCGGAGAGCTGCAAAATAGATCGAGATCCTCGGACGCCAATTATTATTTTGTTACTGACCATGGCGTATTAGTGGCGTTCTGATTACATTATTCTTGATAAAAATAATAATCATCATTAAGGATAATAAGTGCCTAGATATCTAAGTACTCTTTATAGACTATTATTCTATTCTCTCGCCTACCTTTTACGTCAGCTCTAGAACTAATGTCTCTCTTTTCGATATTTCTTCTGCCCTCGGAAACAAGCTCCGTTATTCCACCTAACACAAAGTACCTTTACGGCTGTTCTCTTGCTCAACGGTGGAAGCTGTACATACGCCCAAGGGTCAGCGTAATTCTTCTCATCTTTCAATAGAATTAAATCATCATAATGCGGTAGTAAAGATGTACATTTATATATATGGTCAGATGTAACTAAAACAAAATAGCAGCAGAAAAATCCTGGGTCTTAGCGCTTGGTCACTGGACGATTACTTATTTCTTTCGTAAACTATGGCGAATTACGTATTTCATAATGAACGTACATCATTACGGGCAATAAATAAATTCCTTCGATGCAATACACCTCAAGCATAGATAGGCAGCGATATATAATATTTGCGTAACAAGGCTCCTTTCATAAAATATATTGCCTAGCAATTGAAGCGTGTCCCGTGAGAGTGAAATGATTGTTATCTGTGCAATTGCCATCTTCAATTATTGTGCAATTGGCCAAAATTTGGGTGTGAACAAAGAAAGAATTAGTAATCTAATATCAGGGAAAACGTTAATGCTTGTCATTTTAGTGTGACGATATTTTTCTCACTTTGTTTTCTATGTAGACGACAGCAACGCATTACTCGCTGTACAGGACTCGCGATGAGTGATCATATCATTTAGTTCGTACTTGTAAATATCTGTTATTCTTGTGAGTTTGCTTTGTATTAAGTGCGTCACCAGTTGCATGCGCCCGAGAGAATAGCAGGTCACGTCGTTAAAAACTCGTTTCAACGAGTTCAGAAAGCAGGTTATTATTGAAAACTCGTGTCCACCTATAAGTTGGAAATATTTTTTAGATTTTGCGTAATAGGTTCAACTGATTTCACAAGAAATTATTTTTAACCAGTTTGTCGGTAAATTACATTTAACCTCATTGGACCCTCTGCAAACGAAGATAATTTCTTAACATCACTTGATATCTCCGATCATTCTGTACGCGGCTACATTAACAATGTATTGGCTAGGTTAGCCCGGCATTTGTATGGGAGGCGAACAAATTTCGACTAAACTCTTTGATGAAATACTCTTAATAATTCCTTAGAATTATTAATTTTGTCGAGGTTTCGTAAAGCTCCACGTGAGAATTGTATTCTAGTAAGATTGTTTAACAGTATGTCGCTCGATGTTGATATTATCAATTTAGTTTCTGATGACGTGAATATAACTATTTGTATGCATTCAGGCCATGATTATCCCAGCTTGATTTCACTTCGCAACTTGTAATTAAAGGATTCAGGGACGAAGGATATGAACAAGAAAATCGGTGCTTTAAATCTTAGTATAAAAACACGACAGTTACAATCTTGGACGAAGTTTCAGAGGTTGGCGGCGACCGACGTTAAAATTGTGATGCAACTATAAATTAAAGAACGTTCAAGTCATTTCGGCTGAAGATAATTACTTAAGCTATTGCGCTGACTATCCATACGCCATGAGCCATAGAATGACATACGCTGATGGTAATTACAAGGCCAGACGCACAACTATTATCAGGATACCCAGGATGGGTCGGGGATAGTTTCCATCGTATTAAAGAACGCTTTTTGTATGGGAGTTGTCGGGGCGTTTGTGATGAAGGCAACGATGCAAGCTTGAAAAATCCTGCAAGAATTATTCAATTCGAACGGATTTAAGGGAACAATTAAGGTTGAATGATCACACTTTTCACTGGATAGTTCAAGCACACTTGCGCAACTATCATGCATGACGAAAAATAAAAAATAACAAGTTGACATTATAGAGTAGATCCGAGATTACGAAGAATTCTAGCACGCATAGAACATATCAGGGCTCATATCCGGACAATACCTTAGCATGGCTAAACGACAACCTGCTGATTTGCTGAAAACATTGTCAACATGTCTAGGACACGTTCAAACCTGCTCACGACATATTCAGTAATACGTGTTCAAACATGCACCCATTGTCATCAAAATTCATCAGGTTGATTACAAAATGTCTCTAAGTGAGCATAGAGCGCTGGGAAACCACCAGTCCACATCCATCAACAAATAAACATCACGTTATTCCTAAAGTTCCAAAAATGAGCCATGCGTTGTTGAAACCTCCATCGGAGTGAGGTGAAGCAGTCAAGAATTATTGCGCTTTAGAATTTAGTAACTTAGATTTCGTCATCTACAGAAGGAGGGAGAGTCTGCACGCTGGAGATAGCGAAGGAGAGACAGAAGTAGGAACGAAAAACAAAGAATGTAGAAGTGGACAATAATGATAACCGCTTAACAGGTTACTCGTAGCTACACAGAAACTCGGATTGGACTTGACCTTAACCGTCATCACTCGTCCTGTGACGGTACATGGAGAGTGCATCAGTGGCATTGACAACACGACTGATGCGGACCATATTGAACTGATGATAAGAACTCTACGCTTAGGAAAATGAATGATTCATATTGTTCAAATAACGACACACTTTCATCACGTAACACTGATACGTACGCGTCTTTTTGCCCGCCAAAATGAATCGGGAAGACGCACATTAGGCAAAAAGTGCATCGCAAATTTGATAAAATCTCATTCATTTCTCCGAGTACTGTAAGATTTAAAACAATGACTTTCAGAATATTGAATAGCAGTGTAAAGAAATTATTTTCTCGTGCATGAAGATTAACATGAATCTGGGTATTGTGATGAGGTAACAACAAAATCCTCATAATGACCAAGGGAGATCCCATCAGAAGCGCGAAATTACTCTCACCTCTCTGGGCGATTGATTTCTCAGTCGCAGTCAGTGCTAAGGCATGAACCTGGTTTTAATTAAACAAAAAACCTAATTTTAACATGAAAAGGCGCAGCTTTATCCTTTTGGTCAAATACTCGAAGCAGCCTAGCTCGTGAACCAAGTCCACCCATTTATGTAATTCAATACCTTCCAACACAAATAGTTCAAGACATGGCATTAATTTGTTTAAATAACCAATCAACAACGGCCTTAAAAATTTTGAAAACAAATTGTCACGGGAACGGTACCATGCGCTTTCAGAAACAAATAAATTTTGGCTTCCTTTTCTTCCACCTGGCACCGAAAAAGATCGTGTAAATCTCCATCCAACTTACTCGTGGACAACAAAAGATTCTACTCAAACTCAGTCTCTTCAGCCACCGTTTGAATATTTACACAATATACAGCAGCACTAATTGTCTAAGTAGGCAATATGCGGAAGAATACAAATGAGCACACACCTCAGTGAAAATAGTAGATAAACAATATTCCAGTGACCATATCAACTAACACTCAGCATCCAGTGATCGTGTCCACCAGCAAATCCCATCCACTGACCATCTCTCTCAACGAACAATCCTCATCCAATGACTGCTGGCTGGACACCACAGACTTCGTTCAAAGAACGGACTCAAATTTTCCACTAAAATCACACGAACAGTATGCGATAATATCATAGTCCTGATCATTAGCGACGATTTCAAAAACAGAAAAAGTGTGAATTATCAAATCAGAGTGCAAAGTGATAATATGCAGTAAATAGTTCAAGTACAGGACCATAATTTCGGCACCTGAGACGAAACAAACTCTGCCGTTAAATTGAAACCATGAGTTATGCAAGCATTTCTTACAGAGTTATTGCAGCAAACTATTTCCTTTTCAAATGAGCAAGTTTGATAGAAAATTGAACACGGGAACCTGTAAGCGATGATGATTTTTGATGTGAGGGCAAAAGCCAAAAATTTGAGCGAAACTGGCACATCTACAGAGAAATACGACACGAGAAGGTGAATGAAGCTCGTCTCAGAGTATGAGCAGTCAAACATCACGTTGGGGAGCATGCTGCAGGAATTTCCCGGATGCCAAGCATTCTAGCTATAACGCATCAATAAAAATGCGTTTCCAGAACCAGCAGTAATGAAACAAGATCGGTAACAAGAGCTCAAGAATCAATACGCAACTGAGGAGTGAAACTTGGTGAAATTCGGGAGAAAATCTCACAAATTGTCATGAGAAACAAGTTCAGAGGGAGGATTGACAAATAACAATTGTTATTTTAGTAACAAAAAAGTCGAACGTTTGCAAATAATTGAATAAATAATAAGCAACAGCTTTTTAAAAATTATCGGCCATCAGAGTGCATGGACTCGACAAGAAGCCCCAGCGTTTAGAAGTTCTGCTTGCCTACGTTGAGTTGAAATCCACGTTGTGGTGGTTCCTGTCATGAACATGATAGCAGCTCGCACGAAAGGGACAAATGTAAGGAATTTTTCAGCTCTTACCATTGGTATAAACTAAAAGCGCATCGTCGGTGGCATCGCAAGGGCTGATGCTTGACCACTGATCATCATTCAGAGAACAGGAGTTAAGCAGAACCAATTTTCCACTTATATGAACGACATAAACGCATTGAAGCTAACAGTTTGAAAAGCATCACAGCCGACGTTCGTCTATGACGCGTCGTAAGCGGCGAGAAGAAAGAAATTTAAGGATGACAATGAGGTGAGATGGTGACGTCACGAGGATGACGATGGGGCAAGTGACACAAGTGACTCACGGGGGCAAGTGACACAAGTGACTCACCGGGGCAAGTGACACATATCACACACATCATCCCCCCGCTGGTTAATGAAGGTACAATGCAAGCAGGTCCAGGGGTCGCCCCCAACCCCGCCTGCGGGGTTCGCACCCCCTGGGATGTCCACCCTGCCGTCCCCATGGGTCCCCGTCATGGAGGAGCCATGGGAGGGTGGGGGGGAGGCCTCCACCAGCTGCTCCAGGGTGCTCCACAAGTCGCTTTTCCGCCACTCCACGACCGCCAGCGTGTCTTTCTCTGCAAAGTGTAATCTTTAGCACAAGAAATTTCTGTTTTCCCCATTGTTCTTACATTCAAGTTTTGGCTCAGTGTTTAGTTAACAAGCGCTTGAGTGCTTCAGTAGCCATCCCGGTATTTCCCGCAGACCTACAGCTTAACAACATTATGCAACCTGTTGAAATGTTTGACGTGTTGGAAAACTTCACTTTGGCTACAAAAATTGTCGAAATATAGTAACCTCAAGTAACCTTAAGACTTAAAATTCGCAGAAGATCGAGACACGGCTTTGATTCAGAAGTAAAGACGGATCTTTACATTTGCAAAAAACGAACTCTCACATTTGCAATAAGTGAAATCGAACCTTTGGCTTTGTAATAAGTGAAGACGAACCTTTGATGGCCTTCAGAAGGGGCGCCATGTGGCCGCCCAGGGGCAGCACGTCCATCACGCTCAGGTAGAGCAGCACGTGGAAGTCCGCGAGCTTCTCTAAAAAGGAGAAAGCGTCGCTCTTGACGGTGCGTAGGAAGGCGGCCAGCGTCTGGAAGTCCTGCAAGTGGCCTTCAACCAGCCTGCACAAGATCTATAATTAAGCTTTCAATTGGTTTAAATATTTGTGACTGAATTTAGTTAAAAAAAATCCGGAACGTTTTATTTACATGCATGTCGGTGAATATCACGAGCCAACAGTGTCTTAAGTGCGCCAGATGCTATCAACTGAGCTTTGAGTTCAAACGATAGCAACCTTTGCCTGTTGGACGCCAGTTACTGTACTACGCCATAAGCTCCAGTCTGTAACCATTTCCCAAGAATTTATATAAATAGACTTGTTTAATTAAGCCGCTTTAGACACAATTGCAACCTACCTTTCAACAATTGCACCACGACTGCACTAGGATCCAAGTCAGGATAGAAAGTGTTACCAGCTCTTGCCACTGATCTATTTTAGCTCTACTATTTTTATGTTCCATAATATTTCTGTCGCTACAGAAATGTAACGTCTTCAGTAAATCGGAGTAATTCCAGTCATGTATATGTTTGAATTTCATCTGCATATCTTTTAAAATCCTATGTTTACAAAAGTAAAGCAATCTTAAGCAACTAATAAATTACAGACCAGGCTGAAAATACTGGATGTTTCAAGCAGAGTTGAAATTATAGGAAATATCTTATTGGAGCTCGCAATAAATTTGTTAAGCACAGGCGCTTGGTTGGGCAGCCATCAGGTAAACTAATTTGTTGTGGAGGCTAAAGCCCAGTGAGATGGCAAAACTCAAATTACTATGAATTCTTATATTTTCTTTGCAAACTATTTGACTAAAAACGCGACAAAAAATGAGATACAGAATCTTTTGGCGGGTAGAAAAAGTTAGCATCCCTATTAGTGAGAGCATGCAGACTACCTGTTCTCTGTGGGGAAGAAGTGGGCATCCCTTTCAGTGAAGGTATGCGTATACCTGTTCTCCAAGAGGAAGGAGTGGGCATCCCTCTTGGTGAAGGCATGCGTACCTGTTTTCTATGGGGAAGGAGTGGGCATCCCTCTCAGTAAAGGTATGCATACCTGTTTTCTATGGGGAAGGAGTGGACATCCCTCTCAGTGAAGGTATGCGTGGGGGTGTTGGGGGTAGACACGGGCAGATCCAGCAGCAAATACTCCACAGGCAAGGGACGACCGAGACGCGTCACCTCGTTGCCATACTCGTCCTTCTCCTGGCAACGGTCGGGAGGGTGAGTACACTGAGAGGTACTTCCTCTAGTGGGGTGAGTACACTGAGAGGCACTTCCTCTAATGAGGTGAGTACACTGAGAGGTACTTCCTCTAGGTGAGGTGAGTACACTGAGAGGAAGTACCTTTCTTAAAAACAATATTAAGAGACAAGCAACAGAACTAACTCCATGAAGCTTTATTTATACGACAGCACCACAGCATTTCAGCATCAGTACACCAGCAATGCAGCATCACAGCCTGGGAGCCGCCCCCACCCTCAAAGCAGGGCATTAGCACAGACACAAGGAGAGCTGTGCGGGAGCGCGTCACGCAGCACGACATTTAATATTTAGAACAGTTTCCTAAAGACAGCAGGTGATCGTAATTTGCACAACATATTGCTGATGATGTAAACAAGAACAATTGGAACGAACAATAACCAGAGTGAACGAGCCATTAACCAGGCTTCGCGCATGCAACTTGAAGGAAACGCCAAGCATGTACCTAAATGTATATTAGACCGTTAGACGTCTGCCACAATGCATTACATATATGTCAATTACGTGACAAGCATAATGTAGGTACCTTGAAGAAGACGTCGGGCACGTACTGCTGAGCGGAAGACTCTCTCACGTAGGCAAGTTCGGGAGCGTCGAGTGTAGGCAGGAGGCATTTGGCGGCCACCAGCGCCTCGCATTGGTGGGAGACTTGATAGCCCTCCATGTGGACCTATAAAATGCAAATAATCAACTCATCATCATTAATCAAAACTTACTTCTGAATCATTTACTTGCATTAATTTGATTTAACATCTTCTCGACTTACTCCCGGACTCGGGATCTCCAGTAATAACCAAGGCAGGAGACCCCGTACCAGTAAACAAACATTTTCTCTGCTTGAAATATTTTCATCAGTAGCCACCACTTCTACATTATACCTACCTGGTTCTCAGAGTCGCCAGTCACGATAACGGTAGCGAATTTCGATCCATAGCTGCCCGAGGAGGCGAGGGCGCAGGGGCTGGGGTGCTGCAGCTGCAGCGTGGCAGCCGTGATCACCTCGTGGCTGGAGAGGAAGTATGTGTCGCTGTGACGTAAGTGGCGCACAGTCCCTGTGCTCTGGTCTAGCGGCACTAGGTCTGTGAACACCCAGCCTACACAGGACAGGCCCAGCTGCCGAGCCATCTGAAAATAGTCATAGCACATTATGCTCTATTTGCCTACATAGTGATTGAGAGAAATTAAATCCAATTTAGATGTCATCAAAATAGACAATTCACAGATAAATCAAGCCACTTATTTACAGTACAGTGGACATTGTTACAGACTTGCATCATTGACAGCTTAGACCGTAAGATAACACTGTTAATTAACCGGTACCCAAGGTCCGTTTTAGGTACGGTGAACAGCCACGCTGATGTACCGTGCTACCTGTGTTGCCTTATGCTTAACTACATTTTAGTCTCACGCTATTCACTTGAAATTCTTGGTAAACAATATATTACTAGCCTCGTCAACATGAGACTTGTTGGCATCTGGCAGGAGTTTTAGGTGGTCAGCCGAGGCCTCCTGTGGCGGCTCGTATATCGCGGCGACCTCAGCACGTATGCCCAGAGGCACATCAGGGTGCACTACGTGCCTGCCGTACATCATGCCTGCGCGCTGGTGTCCTGGGAGGAGGGAGGAGTGGTGGTAACAAACGCACAAGCAGGGCACGAATACAAATAGTGAGTAGTGCAGGTACATAGTGAAGGGAGTAAAACATGTGCATGTAAGTGGTAATTCATGTATGAAAAAGGAGTACCGTAATGCAGGTAGGTACATACTGAAAGGGTAATGTATGTATACGTAGAAGGGGTAATGTATTTACGTCGAAGAGGTAATGTAGTATGTACGTAGAAGAGGTAATGTATGTATGTCGAAGAGGTACCAAATGTAGTATGTACGTAGAAGAAGTTATGCATGTACATAGGAGTAATGCATGCAAGTGTTGTCTTAGAGCTCAAGGTTAAAATCAACTCAGTCCCAGCAGTGCAAAATGTTATAGGAGTAAACTTACCTTAATCCCATCAATGGCATAAAATAATACAGAGTAGGAAAGTATATAGACGGTCCTTCAATTGCCTTATAACCTTATAAGGAACAAGAAAATTAAAAATGAATTTGCAGAAGGACCCGGGATGACATATTTATAGGAAGCCCTAACCAATTCAGATAAAAGAGAATAAAGGAGTACACGCAAAAAAATAAGGGAGACTATGTACAATAGTGATGCATTTAGTGTGCTAGTGTGCGTCATCCTGACCAGCAATAAAATGGGGGAATAATAGCAGTGCCACGTACAGCAAGTTAGTGACTATTAAGAAAATATGACCCAGTTCTTGTTAAGAGAAGTAAGTAAGAAGTAAAGTAAGTAAGCAAGAAGTAAAGTAAGTTAAGTAATTAGTAAAATAAGTCAGTAAGAAAGCTAAGTAAGTAAAGTAAGAAAGTTAAGAGAAATAAGAAAGTTATGAGAGGTAAGTAATACATATCATTAAGTAGGATGGGGTGGAGTTACCAGTGGTGCGCCAGTAGGTGAGGAAGTTCTCAACGATGGATCTGTTCTCAAAGATGACGGCGTCGACGTGTCTGAAGGTCTGGCGTGTGAGGGTCACGGCGGACGGCTGGCACTTGGAGCAGATGCCTTGTGGCCAGGGCGGGTGCTCCGTGCACCCAGGCTTGATGCTGCACTCCATGTTCGACACTTGCACAAACTTGCCCTTTAAGCAAAGGTCTAATTATAAAACTTACTCTATACCTAGATGCAATTATAAAACTTACTCTGTGGTCAAAGTTCAATTGTAAAACATACCTTGGAAACAAGGTGCAATCATAAAGTTATCCTATAGTCCAAGCGCAATTTATAAACCTCATTCGAGGCTACTATGTTAATACCTCCAATTCATTTTTTCTAGAATGACAAAAAAAAAAATGCAGAAAGTGGCAAAACAATAATGGGGCTCCCATGAGTATTAATTCAAACAGACACGTGTAAGTGCTCAAATATAGAATTTTTGACATTAAATTGAGTATTCTGACCTTGTCAACACCTGACTTGAGTCTGCGGATGTAAGTGTGGAAGGACATGTGCTTGATGTTGTTTTCCTTGAGGTAGTTCTCGTCCCAGGGGTCGATATCTGTACAGTGGATACATTTGCTGTTCCCTTTGTGGTGACATCTGCACAACATACAAACAATATGAAGGTAAACGTCTGAATAACGTCATATGTTTTTAGTTGTAACATCATGCCTTTAAGAGAAATTTTAAAATGTTACCCTGCACATCATTCAAACAATATGAAGTTAAACGTCTGAATAATGTCGTATATGATTAGTTTTAATATGATATATATGGAGCTTCATATATATGATATATATGGACCTTCAATCTACAAACAATATGAATTCAAACGTCTGAATAACGTCATATGTGATTAGTTTTAACATCATACATATAAGAGAAATTTCAAACAGTTAACCTGCACATCATACACACAATATGAAATTTAACGTCTGAATACCACCATATGTGTTTAGTTTTAACATCATACCTATAGGAGAAATTTTAAACTGTTAACCTGCACATGATAAACACAATGTGAAGCTTAACGTCTAAATAACATCATGTGAGATTAGTTTTAAAATTATACCTATAAGAGAAATTTTTAACTGTTAACAAGTTTGACAAATTTGAATACTCTACTCTTACAGTTTAAGATGTAGTGATAAGAATCTCTTTAATGAAAAACCAAACTAAAAATAATACAAAACCGAAGCATTCGAACATTCTAGTGACAGGGGAAACAATACATGCATCTCTAATATTTTTTTCACTGCTTCCACAACGTCTACATCTAGATCAGCCCTACCAAAACTATCACAACAATCATCCACCTCTAAACTATTCCCACCCTATCTATGATCAGTCTCAGTTTGTCCACAGCTCTCACTAGTCTTTTTGACCAGTATTGGTTTGATGCAATCTGTTGCTAGAAAAATCTAAAATCTTAGAACGTTGTGATAAAAAGTGTATCATTTTAATAGCATTATCGAGAAAGCTAATTGTCTTCTGAGCATAAGAGCTCTAAAAGATTCTGTGGCCTAACCAAAGAACAGTCTAACTTCATATCATTTTCAGAAAAGAAATGATTGTTCCAACTATGTTTCTAAGCACCACACAATAATCATAAATATCACCACCAGCTGCAACACCATCAGAAGTTCCATCACCATTACGACTGGTATTAGCACCAATGATACCCCAGTAATGATAGTAGCAGGCAGTCTCACATGAGAGGGCTCCATTTCATCACCATACCGAATGGTATTAGCAGTAATGATACAGAAAGCAACAAACTCACAAGAGCGGGTTACGTTTGCCGGGTATTCTTCCGTCAAGTTTGACCAGCTGTTGGTCAACAGCGTCCTCCACCACCAGAGCCTTGTTCACTGTCAAGTCGCTGCCGTTGCTGCTACTCAGGGCTGACCTACAGGGCTTCTTGTTCAAGCCGGAAGTTGCTGAAAAATGGGTGAAACTTTGTAATACATATAAACACTAAATATGTCAACCAAATAATTCCATTTGAAATGTGTCATCAGGAACAAGAATCAACAAGGTGAATCAGCTCTACTTCAGCAGTTAGCAACATTTAGATGAATTTTGATAGAAATTCTCATGATGGAGGGAAAACCTGTAGAAAATAGCAAGAAAATAAAGGTACTTGCCATTTGCACCAGCATTGCCCCTCCCATGAAGAAAGAATGCATAATAATAATAATAATAATGATAATTTCAGTGTCCAGACGCTGATATTATTTTCAGAGTAATTTAAAGTTTAGATTTCAAATTTTATCCATGATACCCTTTACATGTACTGCTGTTATATCCAAAATTCAATTCCAAGTGCTGCAAAACCTTCACCTGTTGGATAATGAAATTTGTATTTTCAAAACGTCGCATTCCAATAAAATGTCATTTGGTAACCTGCTTTTTGATGTGCCGGCGCCAGCAAGAAGTTTTGTTTGACTCATTGAAAAAACAAATAAAAAGAATAAAAAGCATGCTTCGGTCTTTTATCAAACTTGCATATTAGGTAGTGTATACATACACCTTGCATACGTACACAATAAAAACTTTCTGAATGACATTTATAAAATGAACATTATTATGCAAAATTTTTTTCAATAAATAAGTCAACATTTTTTAACCCATAATTAACTTTTCAATATTAACATAGCATTCCTAGAGCAAACTTCTAAGCATAAGTATGAGTAACATATCTGAGTAGATATTTACATGGTTGTGGATCAACATCCATTGTATGAGACTGAGATGAATATGACGATGAAGAAGAGGATGAAGTGGATGCTGCAGCACTGGGATGGAGGAAGATCATGTCACCGTGTGAGAGCTTGGCAGCTCGTACTGATCGACGTGCTGAGCAAGCCAGCTCCTGCTTGCGGGTCCTGTCTTGATAGATGCTGAAGTGGTCCGCAGGCACTCCAAACACCATGCTTGCCTGCAGCCAGAAGAGAGTGAATGAAAAAGTTCATAATGAAAAGTACAATTAACTTAGTAATCATACTAAGTTAGTTATATCTAGTTTCCAGATGAACAGTGTGCATGAAAAATACATACAGGCACTTTAATCTACATGAATAAATAACCTACCTATTTTATTCTCAAGACAATATTTATCTAAATTATGGGGAAAGAAATGAGGAACAGAACATGAGGAACAGAACATGAGGAACAGAATGACAGAAAAAGCTAATGAAAGTGACAGATAAAAAAAAATCTGGGATTGTACTCTGTAATGCTTCCGGCTCCAGCATATCTATAAGAATTTGTTTTATTTAGTGATTTTATTGTTATATTAGTCTCTAAAATTACTTTCAGCAGCCTACTTATTATTTATACTAAGTTTAGAATACAATTGTGCAAATTGTATCTCCAAGACGTGATGAATAAACATGAATAACCCTGTAAACATAGGTACCTATGTCCATAAGAATCTTAATTTTGAGGTTGACAGCAATTCATTCTTATAGAAAGTGGAATTCATACAAAATCTTACATTACAGAATTGATGAGATTTGCCAGTTCAATCATATTGGTGAATTTCAAATTACATTAATGCAACTAACACTTAATTAAAAGTTAGCTGGAGTAAAGATATACTGACCTTATCATAGAGCTGTTGTAATGACTCAGAAGGAGTGACTTCAATGCGCTTAGTGCCATCAGGTGATTGTACTCTTAGCAACTGAGAAAAAAAAAATAGATTAGTACAAGGATATATATAGACCTTTCTTTGAGAAAGGAGAAGTTATTAGGATAACAGTTAGAAATCCAAATATTAAAATGAATTGTAATGAACAAAAACTATTCTTTAAGCATGTTTATAGGGAATTTTTACAATATTATGAGAATTGTATCATGCCAAGGTATTATACACATCCTACACTCCAATAAATCATCAGTGTGTATAATTCTAGTTGGATAATTAAATAGTAATACTTACCATTTTGCAATATTATATATTAAAATGTAATAATAATCACAGACAATCTTCAACTCTAAATCACAGACAAATACAACAAAATAACAAAAATTAATGCATTTCCTCAGTTTCACCAAGAGAATTTGATATCAGCCAGAGTAATGCTACACGAGGCCATTTTTTACAACTTAGCTCTGAAAGACAAAGACATAATTTGTCAATAGTTATCAATGAGGTTTCCTATACTTGCCCAAAGACAAAGTAATGATGCACAATTTTCCCAAATTGTGTCCTAACCTGGCATTTCTGTATTCAATGTGTAAAAATACATATCAACAAAGCCTTCATACTTTTGAGTCAAAGTTTTGATAGCCTATGGTTAGTATGGAACCGTATATATACACCATGATTCATAACATTTTATTGCAAAGAGGATTGCGTTGCTCTTCGAACTTCAACCAGTCTGCTTTCTTGTTTTCCAATAAGTAAGATTATTTATTCAAAGGATGACTTATCTTACAGGTATGTCAGCATAATTCCATCATGCTTTCTAAATTTCAAACACATGAGTACGGTAGTAATGAAGTGTCAGTAAATGGTAGAAAATTCTTATTCCAATCTTGGATTTAATATTAGCCATAGCAGTGGAGATGGATTCACAGCCCTTGCTCAAAAATAGGATTGGAAAATTTTCACTCTATAATAAAATTTTGCAGCCCAAATGTGGGAAGTGGGATAACCATATTTTCAATAAATTTTGAATCATGCGGTTCAATCATGCACTTTAGTTGACAACTTGAACATGAGATAAAAGTTAATTTGTCTACTTGAAATGTCAGCTCCAAAAATTGTGGGAAAGCTCTAGTTGCAGATCAGAAGTTAGAAAGATACTACCAAACGGGGTATTAAGGGACGGTGGGGTAATAAGGGACAATCCTCTGACATTTCATAGAAATGTTCTAGCAGCTTGACAAATCAAAATATTGCAAAACTAAAAATAGTGGCATAAATTTCAATGTGTTGCTATCTATGTAGCATAAAGCAAGATAAGAAATAATACATTTAATACCTCTAGAAAATCCCTGAAAAAAGTGTGAGGAGTGAAATTTTGGAAAAGTACCTCTGCTAAGGTCTGTAGCAAAAAAAATTTTTTTGACCCATTAAAAAGTTTTGCTTGCATAAAAGTTTCACATAGGCATGGAATATACGGTACCGTAAAATGGGGTAACTTAGACCACTTTTTTTCTTAAAAATGATGCCATTTTCTTACTAGCTAAATTAAACTTGAATTGAAATGTGCAAAATACAGGTCTATACTCTAGCTTCACTCACCATAAATTGCTGGCTCCTGCCTCTCATAGTCTTTATGTAATTTCAAAAAAAGTGATGGTCTTTGTTACCCCAGCTCTTTTCTTTCTATTGTGTTATGTAGCCTCAGTATTAGGCCTTTAATGCCCATTGACAAAATTTTTCTGTGTCAAATAGTTTTTGAGTTGTGGGGGTTTTGTAAAAAAAAACGAAAAGTGGTCTAAGTTACCCCGCCGGTCTAAGTTACCCCATTTTACGGTATCTACTTGGCGAGCCGCGACTGAATTTTTTGAGCCGTGGTCTTATGGATTTGCCAGCTGTGATTCCATTTCTTCGAGCCGTGATTCCATTTCACCGAGCCGTGAATTCCATATCTCGGCCATGAAAAGCCATTTACAAGGCGCACATTTATTTACAAACTCCATGCACGTGTTATATACCCCAAATCTCTAATTTTACCTTAAAACAGTTAAATGGCAACAATAAAATTCGTCTTTACTGTAAGTTGAGCATGTGTTAATGCAGTCTGACCGCTTTGACATGACCGCAACTATGCGCTATCTTCAACAAAACGTTTAGTTGGTTTGTTTACATTATGATGTTTATGTTTTTTCTGCAGGATATTTTGGTGGGAACGGTAAAGCAGTGCGGATTGTGCAAAATGAAAATTTTATGAAATTACATGTTTGTGAAGTGCAAACCGCGATTTTTCAATCAAACAAAAATTTATGACATTTGAGCCACGAGATTTCATGCCTACTGAAATTATATATTAGAGCCCCGATATTTCAGACCAAAATAGGACTTTTCCAGCCCTGGTTTCACACAGGTGTTGGCTTAAAAACGCGATTGACGGAATTTGTGAATCTCATTCCAAAAAAAATGGCGGCCATTTCTGCAAGATGGGGTAATAAGGGACAACCACTGGGGTAATGAAGGCCACCCACCAGGGTACCTAATAAGGAACACCCCTAAAAACACATTTACAGTAGAACCTACATTAGCAAAGGCTCTAGTTAAATAAAATTTAAAAGATCTCTAGTCAGTCTAGTGTTAAAAAAAATCAATTACCAACCAAAAATTTTGATTACATTTACCTTGTTCAGCAAAAAACATTTCACTTAACAAAAAATTGATGCTTCATTGGTCATCACAAAATGACCAATGAACTTATGAAGCATCAATGAATGTTGTAGATATAATCATGCACCAGGCAACTTAGAATGAAAAGTAATTAACCTAAACTATGATTTATTTCTCTGAATGATAAAAATAAAAACTATAAAAAAATAGCCGTATGCGTTACTTGAGTTCTGTTTGCTTTATGTGACTCGCAAAACACCGTACTACGTGCCAGCAACAATGAAACGTCACAAAATGTTGCCATATTTATTTAAAAGCCTTTAGAATGCAAACCTACCAAATCCCTATATTCCGACACTGTGTGTGGCAATATTTGGCACGTGGTGAGGCGTATTCCGTCCGCGCTTCAAATTCTACTGATACGTAATGCCGTCTTCCACGTGTTCAAATTCCGTTTGCTGTGTGAGCTGTATTGGAATACAACACGGCTTTGAATTAGAACACTAATGAATATTGAACACTACTTATCCACCCGGTCTAAGTTACCCCAAGAGCTGGGGTAACAAAGACCATCACTTTTTTTGAAATTACATAAAGACTATGAGAGGCAGGAGCCAGCAATTTATGGTGAGTGAAGCTAGAGTATAGACCTGTATTTTGCATGTTTCAATTCAAGTTTAATTTAGATAGTAAGAAAATGGCATCATTTATAAGAAAAAAGTGGTCTAAGTTACCCCATTTTACGGTACGCTTTTAATGAACAACTATTAAGCTTTTAATTAAGCAAATTTTAATTTTTGTACATAGCTTGGAACAATCTGTGTGTGTCTAATTTAAGTTGAGATGGAATTAGTTTTCATGTGTCTAAATCCATTTCTCAACAGACTCAACTTAATCATCTATTAATTTATTTACCACCTGAAATCAGCAAATAAGTACAAGTATACTTAAAGGATTCCTAATATATTCACAGACATATTTAAAAGTCTCAAACCATAATATTCTTCCTATACAAACAGTTATTCACTATTTGGTAGAACAAGGTCAACTGTCAAATTTGACACATTTTTCGATGATCTCACTGGGTAGCGTGCATTGTCTCTCTTTGGATCTCAATATTTTCCCGCTAGATGGCTGAGACTAATGCCATAGTGACAAACCAGAGATTTTTTAGAATCAGTTCATTTTTAATTTCCTCATTTACCCAAGATTTAAACCTAGGTATTTCTTATGTATGATGATGCTGATATCCAGGATACTTTACTGGTCTACTTATAGGACTTAAAAATGAACTTGAGGGAGAGTCTAAAAAACTCTCTGCTTTGCCACTATGCTAATGGCTACTAATGTTTTGGAAGTAGTTCGACGCGCAAATGTATGACGTCACCATTTCAACCATCAAGTATCAACGAACGCATGGAACTAAAACAAAGCTTAATATAAAGGAAAAACTAGAGAGGTGACGGAATTATTCACGATGTCAGAATATACCGCGTTTACCCTACAATACTATTAATTTCAGTTTCATGCATGTTTTTTATGATCTTTCTCTGTTATAGTGAATTCACTTGACCTAATCAAGAGTCAAGATGGTGTGAAATTACAAGCTATCCTGTAAGCTTACACATACAAAAGAAATGCTAAATAAATGGCAGCTGATCTGAAGCTTGCAGTGGACAGGGTCATTGTTAATGTTCAGTCACTTCAGTGGAATGTCCATGGATATGGCAATATCACATCTGACACATCAATAATACCTAATACACTAAATACAGTAATGTATGGTTTTGGAATTTGGTTAATATGCGATACTTTACTGGTCTACTTATCGGACTCAAAAATAAACCTTGAGAAGAGTCAGAGTGAACCTAAAGCAGACTTCAAGTTTCTGCCTCACCACTCCGCCTGAAAGGCTGACACAGAAGTTCCAGAACTACCTCCCGTGGTAACTTGACATTTCTTAGTGATTCAGTAAATGGTGTACTAGAGTAACTAGACAAAACATTGCTATAAATATAAAAAAAATTCGATCAACATCAGTTGTACGTCTCATTCAGCAATGAAGAATGATAAAATAAAAGTCCTTGCTTTTTAATATAAATTGTGTACTTTTTGTGCATTATCGGACGTTTAAACTGAAAGAATTAAAGAATAACAAGAATGCCTTACTCATGGTTGGTCGTGAACATTGTCCTAGTCAATAATGTACCTATGAGAACCGTACTACAGGAACAAATTTTGAAATAAATAAAGTTATATGTCGCTTACATTCTCAACGTTGTCATTTATATTGCATGCCAATTTAAAAATAGTTGTGTAAGATTTATTCACTGCATATATTATTTACCTCGAGAACATGTTTTAGGATGATTGAGTGGAATATTGAGATATTCCAGCCATCAGATATTCCATCCAGATATTCCTTTGAGTGGAATATTGAGATATTCCACTCAATATTGAGACGTCGTTCGCCTCAAACAATAATTGATCACTTTTTAGCATTATCTTTGTATTTGTTTTATAATATTTTGCACTGAATAAAATATAATATATATATAGCTAATTAGAAGAAATTTTTATCTAGAATTTACGCTGGATCTAACGAGAGGGGAATGATCTCAAATCATTTCTACATTTATGTCACTTAATTTCTGAAATATTATCGCCTTATCGTTTAATTTTTTTGAGCTACGAAAGAATTTCAGCGGTCTTCAAAAAGTTTGAAATCGTATAGTATAGTATAGTATAGTATAGTATAGTATAGTATAGTATAGTATAGTATAGTATAGTATAGTATAGTATAGTATAGTATAGTATATATTAGTATAGTATAGTATAGTATAGTATAGTATAGTATAGTATAGTATAGTATAGTATAGTATAGTATACTCCATCTACTTTGTTCATGAACGCACCTGGTGTCAGCAGGGAGTCTGTTCCACATGCCCGTGACTCGAAGCGAGGAAATGTTTTTTTTTTTATTAATAACCGCAACCCCTGGCGTTGGTTCTCGTTTCATACATATTCCTCAAGTGATTAAATAACCCAGTTAGCTATGATACATTCATTTGAGCATACCAATACCCGCAACTATAACCTGCTAAATCTACGAAACTATGTTGCGATTTTAATTAGATTAAGTTACAACATTGAAACGTAAAATAATACTGCAGGACTGAAATCATGTTGCGGTTGCCGTTCAGCAAGGAAAGTTCATCAGTTATTGTGAACAGGTCAATTAAATAGAATTCATTTAATTAAGTAATCATGTAATTAGAACCCAGAGAACTCATATGATACGGATAAAAATTTTTTTCCATAACATAGCACCCGAGGATGGTCTGTGTCATAATTGCTCGAACAATATGTATAGCAAATTCTTCCTAGCATCAGTTATCAATCGACGCCATGAATTTCGTGCAATAAGACTAGTATGAGGAAAAGTAAATAAAATTTCAAGTGTAGTCAATGTCGAGAGAAATTTTAATGCTGCGGATAGTTTTTGAATTAATGAAATGAGAAGGAATGATTGCTCAGAGTCTTCAGCTAACTTTGAGAACTCGAGAGTGTTGGACGTACCAATAATGTATTCGTCCATACTTATGGACTCATTAGGTCCTCTATAATATAGAGGACCTAATGAGTCTGAAGTCACGCAAGGCATCCAGCGTGCCGTCTCAAGCCTCAGCTACACTTCAGTCTACTCATGGCTCGCGAGCCCGAACATCCAGTGGTTGGAGAAAAAACCTTGCAGTCGGAAAGCGAGGAAGCTGTTTCTTGTGGAGAGATACCGTAGGAAAATTGACAGAAAATTTAGTTCGTTTCAATTTATTCTTATGTCAACTTATTTTTGATATTAGATTTTGTTGGACAAACTTCAGGATTCCTATAATTTATATCATAGTACAAAGAAAATTATTTAATTTCACTACGAATGAACGTTTCACGCTTCGTTCTGTAATCCTGCACTACTGTCACCTGCTGCAACATTAAGAGTGTATTTCTTCTGTTACAAAAATTCTCGGATATAAAATGCATTGGCAGGTGTTTTTGTTATGTTTAGTTCTTTTTTTGGTGGGTGCAACTCAAGATAACGGCGATTCAACTCGTCTCCTGTATTCTGAACCTCAGAATACAACTTCAGCTTGTCATATGAAATTGAACGTGAATGCCACCGTGAAATTTTTGAAACGGTACCTTGCGGTTCGGCAGTTTTCACGGATGGTTATTATTGTTAGGAATCGATTCCACGGTAATTGTTAAATAATAACACAAGCAATCGTTTACTGACTTTTTTAAACTATAATCGTGTTCAATTGTTCATGTTCTCTAATTTTCTTTCCCCAACATTTGATAAAGTTTAAATGTGAAAAATGGTCTCCGTTGCAGACGGTCTGGTGCGTCAAGTTCTCTCCTCGGGCTTGGTGGCGTCGGTGCTGCCCGAGAGGGCGGCCGCGCAGAGACTCGCGCGCCTCCTACGACTCGCGGAACTGTGGCCGGTCGCGTCTTGTTTGTTCGTAATCCTGTCTGACTCGGAGCTGGACGTGCTGCAAATGGTCAGACCCTAACCAAATTTAGAGTCGCCCCAGCTTCTGGTAATCCAAATCAGAAGCTGCCGCGACAGTAAATTTTCACTGGGGAATTTTGTAACTTTAGCGATTTGCAGAGAACACGTGAACAAAATAGTGTTTGAAGATATACTCTGGCAATAATGCATGCTTAATAATTTATTATATATAACATGATTGGAAATTTGCCTGGAATTTTTGTTTTAGTATTTGATGTGCAATTTTTTCACTAATTCTATGTGAAGATTCATCAATGTATTCAAAATATTTGTAGTGCGGTGTGTCCCATCTCCTCTACAGTTCCCACATCTGCCTTGGTTGGTCATTGGTTGGCCACTTCCAGCAGCACATCTTGGGCTCAGACTTCCGCTGAATAATAAGGTGTGGTCGGCAGCTCGCAGAAGCCAGGCCAACCCTTGATTTTTTAGGAGCTACAAAAGTAGTTTAAAAGAACTATCATCGGAAACAAATTTACTGCAGAGAGAAACATATTACCGATTAAGTGCTTATCGGGCTAATTGTTCGGTTTGTATTGACTAAAGCACAGCTTTACTATATATACTTTACTATATATAGAGCAAGGTTGCTGATCAAGTCCGCCGGATGGTTGGCCTGAAAAACGGACTTGGCCTGAAAAACGGCCAAGTCCGCGAACAAAAAGACTCAATAAATACTAGTATATTTGTAGGTCCAGGTTTGAAAATTCTATTTATTTTTAAATTTCAATTAGGAAGTGCTCCTATCATAAATTTTAGCCGGCCAACGCAATTGAAAAAACTAAATCGCGAAATTTGTCCGAAAAAAGACCGTCTGGCAACCCTGATTATCGAGTGTAGGTAAGTAGAAAAACTGCATGCGGATCATCATAGAACTGAGACTTTACGGACCGAGCAATTTCGTTTAGGATGCCTGTTAACCTTTCCAACTTGTTCTCGCATCTCGCTATCCGTTAAATCAAGGCCTTAGACGCAAAAAAATGACAATGCAGAAACTGTTCGTGAGGGTGCTACGCTGCTGTGATGTACAGTCCGTAGAACATACCTCGTATTTTTGATTGACTATAAGGATTTTAACTGTTACAAGAATACCTTCCTACTAATTTATTTACCATATATTCTTGAGTTCATTGTCGTTTAGGTAATTTTTTTTTAGAATGGTAATGCGAGGTGGCAATATACTTATGCAATAATACAATTTTTATCCACTCCGGCGAAATTTATTCAAAATTGAAAAATTGAAGTTATTTTTGACATTTTTATTTAACTTTGCCATTAAAACGATAATTTTTTGTAATTTTTCACCTTATGAAGGGTGTAAACCTGATTATAACTTTTGAAAAAAATAATATCGGCCCATAGTCCCCATACCTGCATGGAGAAACGAATTGGAGTATTTCATATATTAATTTTCTCCTCAATTCGTTCCAGGTGATATTCGCTAACTTCAAAGAGGTTGAATTCCCCACGATTGATTCAACTGCGGAAAATTTATTGAAGTTATCGCCTACTGACAACACTGACGGGAGTTCTTACTTTCCATGCGCCGGTTGCGGGATAACTGTTATAGGAAACAGCCCTGTTGATATGGATTTGGCGGAACGACCACGAAGCATTCCTGCAGGTAGTGATGATTCTGAAACGGATGAGAGACATCATAGCGTCCATGAAAGTCGTAATGATCATGAAATGAATGACAGACAAGAAAACATTTCTGGAGGCCTTGATAATTCTGAAATGGCTGCGGGACAGCACAACATCCCGGTCCGTCGTGATGTTTCAAAGTCGGATACGCGGCAATGGAATGTGAGTCGAAGAAGAGATGGCGATTCCAAATTACCAGACAAGCAAAGGAAGATTCTCTCAGGATTTGGAGATGATCGTAAAATTTCAGGTAGAAGAAGGAAGCTCAGAGAAGAGATCGCTGCCAGCGTGACAACAGAAGTGGAGTTATGGGAAGTGTACTTCGTCACCGAGGAGACTCCCGTGAACTTGGTTCACGTCATGGACTGGGTCAGTTAAAATTAAAACTTCTTCGTATTTGCTCTCACTGCACAGATATTTTCGTTCTTAAATTGGAATTACTGTTGCCAAGATTGAGAGGATATTTTGCCGGTGCTCTATGCCGCAGTCGGCTCTCCACATCAATTCTTAATTGATTACTCAATGGTCAAGATTTTGTTAATTCAAAAATATAATTCAGTTAAAACATGCATTATTGTGTCTAAAAAGTTCAAAAAATTAAATTTCAACTAATGTAATGTCCTCAAATTTTTATGTCCTAACAGAAAGCAGGTTTAATTTATCCACGTGTAAATTCTGTGCGCGTTAGCGTAATTTATTCAGCACTCAGCCGAAGCTCGCACGCAAAAAAATAACCTGTTCTAAGACTCGATGAGGCGCCTAATAATCTTCACGACTCATAAGATCCATTTTACGTATCGTCAGATTTTTTTCATCAATAATCGATGCCAGAGGAAGCGTGCAAATGTTCTCTTACCCTGTAGTAATGGTCCGTTAAAAAGGCACGTGCAAACACAGTCAAATGAGCTAAGCCAACCCTTACAGCCGGCAATCTCGTCTTGTCTTTGTTAGCCTTCAACAGATTTTATGACCACTTCCA